AACCTTTTCAATCAAGACTAATGAGAACACCATTGGAGAGACAGTAAAAAGGAGTAACTCGGTCACCTTTCCATTAAATTAGCAGCTAAGAATTTTACGATGTCAAGAAATTTACAATGAATCCTTTCAAAACATTTTTGCTCACAATATGCATTTCAGACTATCCCCAACACACACAAGTTATAGACACTAAATTAATGGCCACATAAAAAAAACATGTCAAGGAAAAAGTATAGGAAATTAAATCTGGAGGGGGGGAAATAAATAAATTTAATTTCTAGTACTTTACGAGTTTGGCTAACTCTCAGTGAAAGTCTGTCAAACCATTTAACTTGAAATGTCAGATTGTCACAGAACCAGATAGTGGAGCTGTAGCTGCTCTTGTGTTCAGTAAAAGTGCAGCAGCATCAGTAAACAGTGAGGTGTCCACGGGCTTCTGGCTCTACAAAGGCTGCCAGGCCTGAATAAGAAAGGCTCCAGGCAGGAAAGGAAAAAAAAAGAGTAAAAAGTAAAGGAGAAGCAGGAGAGCAAGTATAAATATGAGAACAAGCCAGCTATAACTTAAGTTGGAGGAGGGCTGGGGTCTACCTAATGTCACTTAAACAGCATCATAGCAGAGGACAGAAGAAAACAGATTTTCAGACTGTCCTATAGGCAGCATTGGACTCAATCACCCCACTGACATATCCCGTATCGCTGTTTATGCATAAGCTTTTGAGTCTTGCAGACTGAATTTTACCAGCCCTTTAAGGACTTCCTGGTTTTTAAAATACAAAAAAAAAAACAAACCCAACCAAACAAAAAACACTTGAGAAAATTGAGAAGAATTCCACCTTTGCTAGTGTGAGTAAGACAGAAACGTACCAACCACACTGAACATAAAGCAGTTGGAGTGGAATTGACACATAGTAAAAAAGTGTCCAGCCACCTGCTGTTGGCTGGTCTCCAAAACCACCTTACATCTGGGACATAAATTAGGGCTAGACTTCAGACATGCCTTTCCCTGTGTCTTTTGCAGTTTGAGTGGAGAAATACTGTTTGTCTATAAGCATGAGGAGACTGACATCAGAAGCCCAAAGAGGCCAATGACAGTCCCTGTCCTGAGGCCTGAGATGTGTTTTCAGAATTCACTTGCAAGACGACTCCCAGGCATCCTGCTACATCTCATTTGGAGTTAGTTCAATTAAAACTAACTGCTCCACCTATGTTTTTGACATTTTAAACATCCCTGAAAGGTATTTGATATGGATAAAGCTCTAGGGAAGCTAAAAAAGGTAAACTATTTTGTAGACTAGAAGCAGACGAGCCTGGGAAAAGCAGAACTGTTAAAATCCTTGGAAAAAGGAAGACAATAAAAAACAGGTAAATGATGCTGATGGAAAAACAAAACATGGAATCAAACCAAGCGAAAGGTATGACTTATGTATTTGGACTGGAAAAGCAGAACAAGATATTTGAGTCTTGAGAACTGTATAATCAGTCTGCTCTTCATTCTTCCTTATTCCCAGTTCCGAGTTGGTACATCATCCCTACCTGGATGGAGTACAGCATGCTTCCATATTTATACACGAGTACATTCCCCTCATGACGAAGAGTCAATACTGTACACCAGGCTGTCTGCAGAGCCATTTTTGCATATATACACATTTATGTTACATGCATACATTCTGATAATGAATCACAAAATAAACTTTCTACAAAGATGCTGTAGCAGGTACATAAGGCCCGGGATTTCAATGAGGCTAGTATTAAACGAACATTTTAGTATTGCTATAGCAAAACAATGCTAAGTGATATTAATGATTAAAAGTACAAGGTCAAAAAAGTACGAGCAATCACATGCTTATCATCTGGTCTGCAAGGCAGAGAACACCTGGTTATAGGAAAAATTATAGGCTTTAAAGTCAGGACCTGTTATATCATCTAATCTGACTCCAGTTCCACAAAGAAGTAATTTTTTCATTGTGACGAACTCCATGATTTAAATCTTATTATGGGTATGGGCCAACAACACTGATTTTTTTTGACTGAAGCTTCCTAGTTTGTGGAAAGTATACATCCCTATGCGTATGTAATGTAATAAAGACAACTTGATATAAGAATTTAAAGATAACTTGAAATAAGAATATTTACCTCTGAAATTGTTAAAAGAAATTTAATAAAACCTTTTTTTTCTAAGGCCTGACTGATATTTCTTACACTAAAATTCTCTACTAATCTCAATAGCTCATTTTCTGCCTTCTGCAAAAAATAAGCACTTCAAGCTCTGTGACTTTTCTCCAAGTTACAAAACATGCATTTGTGCAAGGTAAGTTTTCATGACTTGTTATTCTTCATTTTTAAAAATAGGCTTATTAATTCAGTTCTATTTGAAAGATTAAGGCTTATTCCCTAGAACACTTTATAGCATAACAGTAGGTTCTTTGAGTGAGTAGGCAAATAATAGATTATATATGGCACATGCAGAGAGACTGCACTAAACCAATGCTTCAGTTTTAAATAACTACTCATTGGATTCACTTCAAGTTATTAGCATAATAAACTACTCTAAAATACATCTTCCATCATTTCTGTGTAAGTGGAATTTAGACTCTTTCATTCCTGCAAGGTAGGAAGGGAAAAGAATGCATGACCAGATAAATTTTTACTGAAAATAAATTTTTACCTTCACCACAGCATTATGGTAATCATGTTGAGTTTATACATTTCAGAACCTACATGACTTCTATGTTCTACCAAGTTTTATTTGTCTTTGCTGTTCCTTTTTCACTTGTTTCATATACAGATATAAATTAACAAAAAGAGGGATTTGGACACTTTTTTCCTTTTTTTTTTTGTTAACAGAACTGGTAGAATTAGAATAAAACATTTGTTATGGGTATAATACTGTTAAATAATTTCTGAAAAAAAAGTCATCTGAACCATCAATTAATAAGTGTTAATTCCACTGTAAACTTAGCTCTTTTAGTGTTTTTCAACATGACATACTTGTACCATCACTGAAACTATGTAGTTTTTAAGTCCTATATAGATTACTGGAGAAAGCTAATAGAGACAGTAATGGTTATATGTCAGTCAACTTAAAACAATGAAACTTTCAAACTCAGTTCAACCGGAACATGTTGGGTTATAAATGACATGTATCTGGCTGTGCCACACTGTGTAAAGAACACACAACACAGGAGGAACTACCTCAGCGGCACCCAACAGGGTGTCATATATCAACAAATTTAAAAGTCAGCCACACCTCTCAAACATCTTTTCTCACAAGTGTCCAAAGGGTTCCAAAGAAAGTCTAATAAATCTACTTATGTACGCAATAAGAACATGTAGAATGAAGAGTAAAAACTTACTGTGATCCAGTGAAGCGTTTCAAAATGTGGTTCATATCAAGCAAAACCAAAAGACAATTAACTTTTAAAACCTAGGAACAGGGACTTGTTCCCACTGACATTCATGACACGCTTCCATTGATATCAGTTTTGTAGGAAAGGTCTCTAATACTGCAGTTTAATGACTAATCTATATTAGTGTTATTTTTTGGCACAATTCAACTTGGAATGCAGTAGTGTGATATGAAAAGGGTGTTTTGTTTGCAAACTTGGAAGGAAAATCTGACTTGGACTAGACTGAACAATAAAGAAGCCAGCAAAAGGGAATTTGACACTCACCATTCTGGCAGAAAAACTTAAGTTTCTCAAAACTAAACTATTAAAAATACTTTTATTTGTTTGAAAATAAAATAAAAAGGAAGAAAACTTAAGTGTTAAACTGTGCCAGATTACTGGCATCTTTAGTTAGTGATTGTTACCTTCATCAAAGTCACTCAAAGCTAGTAATAAAGCTGGGACCTTAAAATAATGCAGAACTAGAAGTCTCGCTGTCTAGGAAGCAGAAAAGCTATTCTTTACACTAGCATGTTAAATCTCAAATTATCTGTGATAAATCCTGTATTTCTTCTTCTTTCTAAGCTATTACCAGATTAATTGGGAGTTCTCAATCCCTATTCAGCACAGTACTTAAACATTATCATCTTCATACACATGAGAAAACCCAAATCCTTATCTAAATTTGACTTCATTTTAAGTTAAAGATAAGTTTATGAAAGAACAAGCACTCTGGTGTTTTGCTGAACTAGGAACATGACTTCTACAGATGGGAAGCAGTCCCTCTGATTCTTTCGAGCTCACAAGTGCTAAATCCTCAGTTTTATCAGGTCACAGTTGTGTGCCTTTAGCAAAATAGGGATAACAGTTATTCAAGAGCAAGAGATACAATTTTGTCAAGTCATTACTCAAGGATAGTACATGTGGAGAGTAAAATGGAAAACAGAAAGAAACATTGCACGAACCAGACTCATCACCTATTACTGCAGAATAATACGATTAGCATATTTTCATTATTATTACCATAAGTATATATAGAGAAGATTAAGAGGATCAAAATTAAATTTGGACAGTATATTTGTGCTAAATTCAGCCAGATACTAACGCTAGCAAACATTTATACTAATGATTAGCTTTGTGCTATGGGAGTTAATATACTACATATGAAGTCCGAAATACAAAACTGGGTTTGGAAATATCAAATGACGTACTATGGACATTAATGTTTTGCTTTAGCAAAATGTCTTAGGCATGACTTGGCAATTCAACGATCACGAAGTCTTTGATCTGTTTCGTGACCCATCAAATGGTATCAAAGTGGGAGAGAGGCTGTTTTAATGGAGTGGGTGTTCTTTTAAACTAAACGGAGAGGAAGTCATCATCTCCATTTGTGAAGACAGAGCAAATTCAATGGTCTAATGTTAGAAGGACATGCTACTACTTCCTTGGGTCAGTTAACCCACCGTAGTTTATTTATTCCCCAACCACGTCACAGAAAGGAGTCAGTGCTGGTTAATAAGAAAATATCTTCTACTGTTAATCAATGATATCAGCTGCAAAGTGGGAGATACCAGATACTAGCTATTTACTACAAAATAAAAAGTATACTTTTACCCTAATAAAGAGGATCTTCTCTCCAACCCTGTATCTTCCTTGTGAAAGACGCTCCACACAGAACTTATTAGGGCATTTACAAGGTGGATCTTCAGAAATGTGTTTAACCTGACAAACACAGAAGTTATTAATAGAAACCATTTAAAATACCATGTGTAGCAAAACATTCAAGAAAGTATTTGCCATAGGATGATATCACTAATCTAAGTCTTCACTGATTATATTTTCTTAGTTTTTCTTAATATTTCTGTAATCTCAGACTATGGTGCTTCCAATATCAAGAATGATTTTACAGTTGTGATGATGTAAAAATAGAGACAAGTGTAACACAGTTCAACATAGAATTTGCACTGCATAACTGAAGTCAAACAGTTTGTTAATTTGAATTCAGCATCAAACTTCTGTAGATGTGTTCTCAGTATTTTATGGTGAATTAGCTCAACTGTCAAAGTTGATAATACAGCTGAGAGACAAAATGAAGATGTTATAATGACATATTTTCCCTTCTAAATAAATATAATGAATACAGAAGCATCTTGCTTATTAATAAAGGCCCTGCTCAATACCTTCACTAGGCACTTCCAGATAGGGCACTGACACCTTAAAAAAAAAGCAGATAGAGAATATTGTAACATAATCACAAGTGTTGCTTATGATCTCGACCTGAGAGCATTAGTGCAACAGCAGTAATTTAAAGGGGCCCCAAGCACACTCTATCATGGCCAACAATAAGTCCTGAATAAATATCGAAGAAAACAAGAAAGTAGTTTTCAATCAGCTGCATCATCTTGACTTCAGCCTCTAGTGAAAACTGGGTCTTAAGGCGTTAATGCTTAGTAAAAGTATATTTTGTACTCTTCAGTGATCTGAAAGTAGCTCAGCCATCAATGCCATAAGATCTGGTTGAGAAACTCTTATTTGAGATTCAAATGGCACTGCTGCATAGGAACAGCAGTAACAAGTGCAGCATTTTCAGATACTGCAGTTTTCTTTGATGAAAGTTGACCCAGTATGTCAGTGTCAAACAATGCAAAATGCCAGAGGAATTTCCTACAGGTTTTGTCCACTTCAAATAATATTCCAAAGATTTTTTCAAATCCAGTTTGTAAACCAAGGCCTGTAAAAATAGTCTGAGAAAAGATATTTTCAGAATACCCAACAAATTAAAGTCTTAAACTGTTTCGGAAAAAAAAAATCAGGGCAAAGCTGTGGCACTCTAATAGGTATTGTGGTTATCTTGAATAAATTAAGAGAAAGGCTTTTGAAGTACAATAGATGTTTTTCATATTTGCTTTTAGAATAAAGTTACAGCATGTTAAATAAACTGGAAAGAAATTAAAAGTTAACTTTTTTTATTTTTGCTTTTGAAGCTAGCCTTGTTGACCAGTTTAAAGGCCTTCCAGTAATTTCTGAGATCATTCAATGTTATCATCTGAATAACTCTATTACTTTGTGGAATATTTTTAGTAATTATTTTCAGCTTCTTTCTTTTCAAATCAGGGCATGATGATTTCATGAAAAAATTAATTTAAAAATAAGACTTAGCGGAGGACCTCTAGGTGCCTTGTACACACAAAAAGCATTTCTCAAATATCAGATGAGTTGTCCTCAATTTGAACATACAAGCACTGACTTAAGATTAATTATTCCAGTGATTTTTATCAACAGGGGTTAAGTATTAGCCTCCATTTCTTGAGAATCAAACTATTTAGATAGTCAGTGTAGAATAGAAATAACTTATATGAAGTCAGTGGTTGACGACTTAAATCCCAGTGCAGGTTACTCAGGATGCAAAACATGCATTTCTCTGGCACCAAGACTGGGGTTGTGCTTAGACTCCCTGGCAATGGCTCTCTGAATCCTGCCCAGTAATCAGCAATTCCTGACATAATGTCCCATGGCACTTAGCACCTCTGGAGAAACTTGAAATTCAAAGCTGAAAATGAAGAGCGTGAACTATGCTTTAATAGCTGTGTCTACCAGGTTCACCTAAGCAAGCAAAAACCCAGCCTAGCCAGACCTAATAGGTTCAAGGTTGTTTAGAACTGCGTAAGCAAAACACAGCCTGGGGAGAATGAAAGCCAACAGATTTATACGGGTGTAAAACAGGATAACGAGACCTTCACTGCTGATCCTGCTATTGAGGCTTCCATTACCTTACTATCCCAAAAGGCGCAGAAGTACTATTGAGTGGAATTTGGAAATCAAATAAGGAAGCAGAGGGAAGAATTATATCCTACTTTATTTTGTGTCTGGACTATATGAGCACTGTTGCTATTTTATGGTGTGAGTGTCTGGGGCAGTGTGGGTCAGGAATCTAGCTGGATAAATTCCGTTCTGTTTCTATCCCTACTGCTTTCCAAATTAAAGGAGGTGGCTGGAGACAACCTTCATACTCTCTGCTCTGTTCCTACAAGATATGCAGTTCAGCAACCTCCTTCTATATATTGCTGCACTTTCTCAGTTCTGCTGAAATGCAACTGAGTGTTTTTGCAAAGGAAGAAATACAAAATATAAAAAATATTAAATGTAATTATTTGCATCAAACAGTACAAAGTATTTCAATAAAATGAATGAACATTATATTCCATCTGCTCTTTGTAACAAAAAAAGTGGCACATGGATTTTTCAAGAAGTGCCTTGTAACTCCCAGGTGGCACATCTACCTTGCAATATAGCAGTTACTATAGTAACGACTTCTTTTTATAGAATATATTTGTACTCTTCAAGTTTAACCTCTTCTTGGTCTCAAAATGTGTCCTTTTCATCTGATTCCAGCTGTTTCAAATGAACCCCTGTAGGGGTTCATGAACCCCTACAGGGGTTATTTTGCAACAAAGAAATGAACACTACAGTACAGAGTGAAGAGTTTAATCAAATTCAAAGCAGGATACTTTCTTTCTAACAATGAGGGGAAAAAAAATGCCTGGTTTGTTTTTTTTTGTTTTTATTTTTAACTGTGTGAGACACATGCAGAACATCAGCATAAAAATTAGGCTGAGATAACTTTAGAAGTGTTTGTTAACATTTTGTACAAATCAGTAGGGCCCAAACCTCCTAGTCCTGACTCAGTCCTTTCTCAGACAAAACACCAAGTGGGAGTCTATGAATAAGATTGAACAGAAAAAGAAAATGGAGAAACAAGAAGGGAACTTGGCCCTAAGCACAAAGCTAGGCTAAACTGTAGATCTCCTACACAGTGTGACATTTTTTCCAAACTTCAGGCATAAATAATTGTGGTCAAAAAATAAATTAACTCTATCAGTTTGCCAATCTTTACAACACAGTGAGATGTTAAACTCAGGCTGCTCTGTGCTTTGCAAGTAAGTGCATACCAGGAAAGCTTCCTCCCACAACTTACAGCATCATCCAGCAGTTTCCCTGTGCTCTTTTTCCCAGGAGACTTTGTCGGTGATGGTGAAGGAGATGGAAGGGGGGCTGAAAGCGTTTCCTCTTGTTCAATCTCTTTTTCAAGCTTTATTAATCCAGGAGGCTCCACCCCAAACCTTTTGGAAACATGCAAACAAATTACTAGCCCTTATAAAATACTACATACTTTAAAACAAAAGGGTGAAGAGAAAGTATACTTTCTGTATGCCACTCTTGTACAGTAATGGAATGCTACATACACCAGAAAACATGAATAAAATATATCAATCATTAATGTCATCATTCCAAATTAATAAAAAAAAAAATAATTTAGATGGAATCTTTCAGTTGAACAAAATTACAGGAGATAGAGGTTTTTTTCAGTTTCTCTGTCTGAAAACATATATGTTGGTGAATGACAAATTTACGAACACTAGGCCTTCACTATACCACGCAGGACACATCCAAGTTCAGGTTTTTTCCCCAAACAACATCCTTTCAAATTACTTGACAAGTTATATGTTGTGCTACTATTTTTTAAAGAAATCCAGATTAAAAGGGATTAAATGTTTTCTTGGTCTCAAGTATTGCACTGAATTTAGAGCTAAATAAATTGAGTCATGGTCAGTATTTTTCCAGAAGTGTCTAATCCTTTTTCTAACCAATTTTTGAGAGTCAATCTTCAGATGTTTGTCAGTGGCAAGACGCTTGCAGCTCCAGCTGAAACAACACACACGCAACTTTGCCACGGAGCATCTCAAACACAGCACTCAGAGAGCAAGGCTCCTTAAAACACTGTCTGATTTTGAAAGCTTTATGGCAAGTGATTAAGTCAGTATCTCACAGCAAGCAGTAGAGCTTGTTCAGATGTCGGAAGTCTAAAAGCCCATCCTATTTTCCTAATCACCAACAATTCCCCTCTGAACAAAGCCCAGAAAAATAAAAAGATTTCCTTTTTCAGAGAAGGACTTCAGCTTGGAGAAGCTGTCATGCCAGATGGGCTTCTCATAGCAAGCTATTTGCGTAAATCATATTTTCTTCCATAATAGAGAAGTCCAGAGCCCAGATGCAGAACTATGCTAAGTTATCTAGGTAAAGATCTGGACACTAAAATACTGAGCAGTAATAAATATATTATGAAAATCTAAGCTAAATACCCTAGTAACTCTAAAGTGTACAGAAAAAGGGCATAAGCACATGTTATCTTTTGTGTTTTTCTGATAACTTTTCATTTAGTCACACTACGGCCTAGTAGATTAATATAAAGAAAACCAAGAACCAAAACTGTGCTTGTATTGGCTTGTAGCTGCTGCAGTCTGCCTAATGAAAAGTCAGCCAACACTGAAGCAAGCACTTACACACAAACCATTTACTTCCTGTCTGTCTGCAGATGCCGACAGGCTGTAAATCACTAAATTCCCACCGGGCTCTAAGCCTACACCTGCACGCAGCCTTACTCATCAAATAAAACTCTTTCACTCTAAGTAACACTGCTTCTTTGCTTCTTTTGCTTCTCATAAACTCCAATTTTTGTCATTGTGACAGACTTTTAAACCTCTCTGTACTTCCAGAACTCAATTCCCCCAGTGACGAGCTGAAAAATAAAAGCACCAAACAAGCAAACATATGCACATTTTTGGTTTTTTTTCCCACATATTGTATCAACCTGAAGCAAAGTTGCTGGAAAGCCGAAATGGTAATAAGCATATCTTTTCTGGGAGGGGTAGAAGCACACATTCTGTTCTGGAAGGTATGCTGAGAATTTCCTTTTCTCTTCTTTTCTAGCCTGCCTTCTCATAACTACAGATGAAGCAGCACTGGACTGTAACATGATCTCCAGCAGACTTCTTAGAGCACAATTTCCCAGTTTTACCGAGGAAAAATTAATACAATAGCAGAAAGATCTTTAAATCACTGAACAGTAATTTTGATGGATCTGTGGGGATTGTTTAATTCAAGTTAACTCAGAAAAAAATTCTCAACTGCTTCCCTTCCTAATACAAGGACAGGCAACAACTATCTTCACTGAGGTGATGGCACAGAAATTTCATTATATTTGTTAACAACTGCCCATGAGATATATTTGAGTGACACCAAGATAAGCATTCCCCTATACCTAATGAGTATAGAAGTTAGTCTGAGATGTGCTGATGTAGTAAGTCTCTCAATAGCCACTGGTGCCAACAATGTAAATATTGCTTCATTGCTTAAATATTTTCACCTACCTTGCTGCAATCCTTCCAAGTTCCAGCAAACAAAGGCACACTTCTCTTGGCTGCTTGTGGAGAACTGGAAAAGTAAAATGAAGATGGAAGACATTAAAATTAAAGCTATTTTAAAGACCTTAGTGATGGATGGAACCTAATCATCAACATCTGTAACTCGACTCAGATAAAACTTGGTTTTCTTTGGCTTGCAGTGGAGTTACACTGAAATAAAAAGGCTGGGATTGAGGAATGGCTCTCAGTGTGCAGACCATTTAGGAAGTTCCCATTTAGTTCCTTTGAAAATAACATTCTAAATCTAAATCACTGAGTAATTATTTGGGGCATTTGATATTAAAAATAATCAAGAAGTCTGGCAGAACACTGAAACTAGTAGAATGTCAAAAATAAATTAATTACAATAAGTGATACTTTTCTTTCTACAAACTATCCTCTAGATCATGATTTTTCTTAGCCTGTTTAAATCACAAAAATGAAATTGCATTACCAAAGATACATCTTGTTATAAAAATGGCCCTGAATTTGTTATAGATCTACTCTTAAAGAAAATGTGAAACTAGAATACTTTAGGTATTCAGCTCATCATAGAAAAAAAATGCAACAAAAAAGACCCATCACCTTTTCTTCTGCATATATACACACACATATTATCAAGTTTTCATGTCTGGATTCCACAGGAGATCTGCAGTTTTTAAGTTTCAGAAGCAGCTGTAACACAGCATGAACTTGTCATTAAGAAATACCACCATAATCGAAGATAATTTTTTCTTTCCTCTACAATTCAGATAGATAGTATTCTGTAGAGAAGCCCAGTAAGACATACAATCAAAATAAAAAAATCAATAAATGAAGACAGGCCTATGGCTGTCTGCATAACCAATTCACAAAAACTCAGAAAAAAAAAAAAGAAGAAAGAAAAAAAGAAAAAAGGAATTACGAATACATGGGCATCTTCTCTCCAGAAATACCTATTGCAATATAACCCTCATGCATGTTGTGGAAAACATTCAGGTTTTAGAAATTTCCAAAATAATTGAAAGACTTGTACCTTTTACTACAGATTGAACTGACACCAAACAAAAATAATGTGAATATTTGGAAAAAAAAAGGAAAAAAAAAGGAAAAAAAAACAGGAACAAAAACAATTTGTTTTTAATGAGTTACGGTCAAGACATCTGTTGCATAAACATTTTGGTTATCTAAAGACTCAGTAACTCAAATGCATGAAGGAAAAAAAAGTCAAACAACAACAACATACCTGAAAAAGATATTTCAATGTCTAGTTAAAGCTCTGAAAGTCACTAGTTTGGCCTATACCATATGCACGAGACCCGGAATGTGAATCCACATCTCTAACTAACTAATGCCCTGGGGCAGATCTTTAGCTTCTGCAATTTCAATTTCCAGCTTCACTGACTTGAATAAACGTACGGTAAATTGCACAAGTTAATGCTCATCCCAAAATCTTTTAGTAGTGTAGCACTTTGAGATGTATGCATTCTTCCTCTCTAACCTCACTCAAATATATTTCCAGAAATGAAACTGCAGAGCATGAAAACTAAAATAGCACTGCATAAAGAAAAGTATTTTTATCCTTAGAATATAAAAGATGCAGACTTGGACAATTCAGCTGTTCTCAATAGTCTTCCTTGCCACAACACAATAATTTTTCGAAACATTTGCCTTTGCTATTAATCAGTATTTTTGAAGGGTTACATTAATGACTCTATAAGTGTATTCTGCAGTTGGGATTGCCTCAAAATAAAATCTGATTTTAAGAAATAAAGCATCCTACAAAATATAAATAGAATAAACCAGTTTTGAAATAGTCAAAGGGAGTACAATATTTCTGAATTGCAATTCACACATACGCACATGTGAATTACTTTGGAAGGGGGAAGAAAGAGAGGCTCAAGGAATATTATTTGCAAAAAGATCCATAAATAGAACTGAAAGAAAATTTGATTAAGAAGGGTAAAACATTTTTCTGTCAGTGATTAAAGTGCTTCTACACAAACAAAATTCAAACTCCTTTAGCAAATCTGACTCAACATAATCTAGACACATTTCATGCATTTCACATTGAACAGTGTGACACAGTGAAACCATTGTTAGAGGATGAAGAGCTGCACAGGCAACAACCAACCAAAAACCCAAACATCCGGCCATCTGATAATACGATGGTGACACAGCACTTGTAACAAGAAAATGTTAGCATTCCTGAGGACTATACCAGCATATGTATTCAGGAACGTCTGAGATAAACAAATGTTATTTTGTATACTGTGATACCCACTGGAAGTAACTCAGATTCCCAAACCAAAATTTTCACTTTTTTTTCAAAAGCACGGCTGTTTAACGGGCTACCACCTCGCAAGAGGCTGCTCAAAAGCTACAGCAAAAGCGAGAGAGACCGGACTGCATTTCCATACCTGCCTTGGTCCCAAACCTTCAGTACAACCTTGAGCAAGCAAATAAGTACACTGACTTTTGGAACTTTCGAGTGCCTCAAGTTCTGAGAACTTATCTTAACATACTTTTTGTCTGGTGTTATTCCACAATAATTGAAAGAACTTGGTACTTACAGGCATTTTCAAAAGGGTGCCTCCTAAGCTTTTTGAAAAAAGCTGTCTTTGTACTTTTTTTCCATATAGAGAACAGAAAGAGAAACATTTCTTACACTTCCTTTCTTAGTTTTACTTGCAGAAGTTCAGTTAATTGATATTTTCAAAGCACTTCAAGATATCTATAGAAGTGATACTATAGAGGCACTACACAGCATCATAATCACTTATTTCATTATTTAAAATAAACATGTCACTAAGAAAGAAAACATGCACAATTCCGTACACATCCTTTAAAGTCTACAGTCAACAATTAATTTCCACAACAGTGCTATTGTATGCTGTGAGGAATTCAAAGAAAAAACAAAAATGAAGATTTTTCTAACACTTCTACTCAGTAAGCAGTATTATTATCCCCATCTTATATATGGAATTAAGGTGTAGGCATTAGATACAAAAAAAGCAAACCTATCTAGGTGCTATTCTAAAATACTTACTGCCTGATCTCCAGGGTATTGTCAAGTATCCTAATCTCACATTTTGTATGAAAACAAAGCCAACACGACTAGTGATCCTGTTACAAAGTCTGATACGGACCCTGCTGCTGCCTGCGGGAGCTATGTGACGGAGCCATAGTCACTTCTTCCGACACCATTCAGCAGCAACCAAAACACCACGCTTCAGGATTTTTCATCATTCTCCAAACATCTTCAGATTTTTGCAACAAATGAGGCATGTGAGGAGACGATAACCCACCATTAAGAGGTGCTTTCACTTCACGAGCCACACCATTTCAAGATGTTGGCAGAGCAGGGTCCATCCTAAAGAGAACACAGCTCTTCTAAGGGAAAAATCAGCCCAGGACTCCATGAAAAGTTGGTAGATATGTCATAACAGTTAAATAGTTTAACTAATGTGGTACAGCCAGCCTTTAAAGATTTAGACATAGTACACACAAGTCCAGCTTATTTTTTGTGTCCTGACAGTTACAGACCTTTTGCTTTCTATCCCATTCATTTCAAATCTTTCTTACCTGCTGTCCTCATTGCCTGCATCTGTTCAAGCTCCTTCCAGCCATTCTTTTTTAACAATGCTTTCTTTTGAGCTCCTAGCAAGTTCTTGTCCCTGCTCCTCTCTGGCTATAAGTTATTTCTCCACACTGTTTCCATCTTGTTGCTGCCCCTTTCTCCTTTTACAGGTCGTTCCTCTCCTGATCACTCACCCCTTGATCTCCATTCCTTCCCTACCTACTGTTCGCCACAGTTCTGCATCCCTCATTGCTCCCTTCCCAGTGCCCGGATGCTGCGATGAGAGGCAGAAAGAGCAGAGGAGGAGCAGCCTCTGCTTTCAGCCCCATCACACCCTGGGCCTGTGAGGAGACAGTTCACACTCTGCACATGAACAACATGTGTTTGCTCCGCATGTTTAAACTGAGTGTTCACAAAAACAAACATGAGGCTTTTTGTTTTGTTTGTGCTTTGGGGGTTTTTTTTGTTTGTTTTTAATTTAGCTCAATCATAATACGGGAACAAACTTCTCGTACCTCTCTGCCAAGATTCAGGCTTTGACTTCTAACATTTTTATAAACCGTTTCAGTGGATCTAGTTTTTCTTTTAAACATAGAATTATTTTTTTTGAAAGATCTCAGGCATAGCTGACTCATAAAAGTGAAAATGATCTCTGCCTCTAAAGCATTGTTTAGTTTACTAGAAGCACCATCACTTATGGAAGCCTCAAAACAATTAAGATTTCAAACACAGATCTATGGACAGTAAAGAATTAATCTAAAATGAATATACTGATCATTGAAATACTAATAATATACTGGAATTCATTAAAGACATTAATCCAATTGTGACAACACAGTGTCCAGGATGCTTCTATAGTCCTCAAAATGAGAGATATTCAACAATGTTTAGTAAGACATTGTGAAAAACAGGACAAAGTCTTATTCTGATGCAAGTACGTGTAAAATTAAACATACAAGTTGTAAATGTATCGTCGTCAAAATACCACCTGAAATTAGATAGAATATTAATTAAAACAAATTTGATCCTATGCATAAAATATTTTTAAGCAATCAAAATTTGAGTGTTTTTCTAAAAAAAAATAATTAAAAACAATATTAGAAATCAGAGGTGTTTGGTTTTAAGTCTATGCCCACTAAAACACTAGATGCTTTTGTTTAGAGAACCTGTCCATTAAAATCTAATCAGCACCTTGCATCAAAAGAAGTCCATGTCAGGTATTGTGTGTACATACACAGAGTTGCAGAACATACAAGCACAAAACACTAATACAACAATATCATCCAACAGCTCCCAAAACAAACGACACACATAAGCATGCTGGCACACTTGGTGGCAAACCCTTTTCCTGTAGAGTAGATTCTATCATAGCAGAGACGCAGAATATTCATTGGTTCCAAGTCCTATAATCATCCAACAACACTCTGTTACCGATAAAGAGTTCATAACTAATGCTTTAAGTTCACTTCACTTCACTAAAGCCATCATAGAACTCTTACCATTCTTACTATTTGGCCAATAAGAGTTTTCTTCAAGGATTATACTCTTTGGGCTTGAGCATCATAATTACAAATATCTCCACCTAGAATTCTTCCATAAATTGAATTACCATAGCTGCAGGATCTGCTCCCCTAAAACCTAGAAAGGGGAACTTACAAAATATACATATCGTGGGAACAGAGGAGTTACAGACATTATTACTCTTCTTACACTGCAAAGAGTTGAGGCATCACATTCCAAGTCCTAGATATGGAAAAAATTTTGTCCTCTGATACATCTAGGAAGCCCATTCAAAGACAGTGTATCTCAAGATTTGCCCAGATGATGAAAGCCTGAACTCTGTATCAGCAAAGCTAATCCCTTCTTCTTAGATACAGTAGCTATAAAAATAATAATTATGAAAAGTGCGCTAAATCGCTGAATGAGTGCAGGGAGCATGCTGAGTCTCCCTCGGTTTTGCAGCGTTGAAAATTATCCCTACATATGCATCACTGTATTTGTTACAGATGCTGATGTCTTTCCTGCAGCTCCTAAAACAAGTACACCATCCACCTTCTCTTTGCGAAGGCGTTAACTCTGAGACCTCCCTGCCATGTCTCTGCATTAAGGTAAGTTCAAAGGGTGAAATACATACAGATTGCTTACCAGTCAGCTCTGGGCACATTATAAATCTTTAAAGAAAATTGTATTTCCAATTGGTTTGTCTTTTAAACAACGCCAAAGCATGACAATGTTCAGCAAGATATATTATGCATTACTAACTTGTAGTTAGTAGTACAAGTGCATTGTTTTCAGACCTTTGAGCTCTGTACTCACCTCTCTATCAAGGACCATTAAAGCAGCTACACAGATTAGAAGATACAATTGTATCTACCAGACAAACACCACTCTTTTTATTCTATTTATTCAGAAGAAAGACTTTGATCTTGTTTCCTTGTTTAGCTCAGCTGAACAACCCAAATACGACAAAGCATTTGAACCCATGCTTAACTTTATTTAATTAAAGAAATTACTAAATCAGTCCAGAAATAATGGACAAGGACAAAGTGACATGAGTAGGTCCATTCAGCTCCTTCTCTGGATCAGCTCTGAAATGTTAACACTGTGAAGAACTAATCCTTCAGGAACACTCAAGATTCCCATTAACATCACTCTCCTGCAAGCATCTCGGGCACAGACTGCGCTTACATCTGCTGTCACGTCTGTCCTACACAGTTTCATTCATGTCTTCAAGGGACTTCTAGCTGAGTGCTAAAAAGTGAGAGTGTTGGATGCCTTTGTGTACACTTGTACAATTTCAAAGGGTTTGGAACTCATCAGGAAGAGAATACATTTTTAAGTAATCAGAAATTATAGCAATTAATAATTTCTTAGCTACTATATATAATTTTGTTGATCTCTGAATAGACTTGGGACATTTTTTATTCAAAATCAGTAGTGTCATAAATCCATCATTCAAATGTTTCAGTGCAATAAATTTTAAAAATTCCTCTTATAATAGAAGATAAATTTACCAGAAAAAAAAAGTTTTAGGAATGTTTTACATGATACAGTGGCATAAAACAATATCCCTATGTGCTTCTAATTAAATTATACAGTATTTATACGCTATAAGGCATGCAAAATAGAGTAAGAAGGGAGGATAAAAATCAGGTCAGTTAAGAATATTAACACAGTAAGGTTCCTCAGTTCAGAGTGAAAATAATTGCTTTATCACTACTAATTTACACATTCATACAGTCTATTAGCTATGGGAGAAAAAACATCAGAGAACACAAAACCCAGTTACCTCTGTAATCATCATTTCACCACAATTATATATTACCAAAAATATAACAGACACCCATGAGGCAGTGCGAACATTTAGATCTCACTCACACACATTTCTCACCACCCTGAATAGAACCGTTCCTATTACTTACCTTTGCTGAATTTTTACTTCCTATGCAGTGCAGGAGAAGTGATTTGTGGAAGAGATGGGAACATAAAAGCTTAGGTTGGCAACTGTTACGATTCATCATTATTTCTAATGCATTAGAAAAACCTCAAACGAAGCCAAAACTTTTAAGAGTTCTAGCTCAAGCTGAGTAAGAATAGTAGCTTCCATTTTTATCAGTTTTAGAAATGACATAGTTACTAACCCACTCTCAAGTTCAGAAAAATAGGCCAAAGTATTATCAAGTCCTAATCCTATTTCCAGCACCAGAAGTCTATTCAACATGTGCATCCTATAAGCAGGAACACTCAGAGAAGGAAAATAACAGAAGCTAGTTTTCCTCAGAGAATAAAATCAGTCGTTAATTGAACAAATCTAATATGGTCATATCTGGTTTGTGCACCAATATGCAGGCATATTTCACTTCTCTTTTCCAAGAGAGAAAGTCACCTTGGAGATCAGCTTTCCAGATACATTTGCCTGTGCCAGGCAAAGCACTGCATATGTGTAAAAAGCAACTTATCCACGCAATGTCGGTGTCTCAGCTACGCCAATTCCATCTCTTAAACAAGATTTGTTCTCAAGACACATGAGAAAATTCCTTATAAACATGCTCTCAATTATACAATAAACCTGTTACTGGAACAATGCTAAACTGCTGGGTTTACCATAGCAGTATGAAGTCTAAATTCATTTAAGTGTTGGATTTAATCACAGGTTCTTCTGCTTATTTCAGACATTGGAGGTTCATGTCTCCTTCCCTCTTGTGTTTGCAAGTTTTTGTCCCGGGCAATGTCCAGCTTCTCCAGCACTTCAAATCTTTGGAAATACAATTATTGTCCATTTTCCACATGATACATCATGTCCAAAAAAAGTTTCATTTTGAGGACTTAATTAACAAAACAGAGACAATACATATATCCTCCTTAATATGTATCATCTTTGTGATATTAATTTCTTCTCTGCCAAGCATTTTCTCCCGGAGATATAAAATAATTTAATTTGATTTTAAAACCCTCACAGGATAAAAGGAAAAATGCTTCAGAAACAGCTGTGCTAGAAGAGTAGGACTGTAAAAGGAGATCAGTTGTAACACAGATAAGAACTTCAACTGAGCAAAGACCTTTTGAGCAACAGAACAAAGAAGCCTCTTGATTCAGTACAGCGTGTTCATTTGTCTTCCATAGGAGCTGAACTGTCTATCATCACAACTCCTTTACACTCTTTAATCTGGGTTCAGATAACAAATAAACATTCGAATCTCTTCATTTCATATTTGGCTGAAACAAAGTCTTGAGGTAAAATACATATTTTCTTTTGAAGAGAGAAGAGCTAAAATAATGAAGAAAACATACTATTAGAACAATGATTCCCGAAGTAGCCAATTCCTTTTGGTGGAACACCCTGAAGCACTAGTGCCAGGTAATTTTTGTCCAGAGCTGTACAAGGGAATCAGCTGAAAAAAAAAATGAGTATAGGACACAGAGAAAAATTTTGTATTTTCTTGTCTCCTGAGAAACCCACTGAATCTGCAGAAATAGCTAAATGCCTGCAGACAAACTAGGCATGCACTTGTATCCTACTCTCCAGAAAGAGAAAAAACACACCATCTTAAACATTGAACTAAGGAACAGCATTCCATGATCAAAAAAGTGTGTGTAGAGTGAAATATCTGCATGCAAGAAATCATAGCAAGATCTTTGACTCATTTAAGCTCCTCTTAAAATTGACTTAAATTAAAATTAAATGATGTGCACTCTATTTGTTCATGCTTCAGATAAAGGGCAGAATTAACACAGTCAGACACCGGTCAGATTTGGAGTCAGGATCTATTAAGAGAGTCATTCTGTTTTTCAAGGCAAAACACAAAAGCTATATAAAATTATCAGCTGCAAAATAAATAAATACATACCCAAGCCTTCTGACTCAAACAGGCAGGTATCATCCACCCCTACATCTCTGCACCAGGATAAGAAATTCGCTGTGTTGTCCCGTGCAAAAAAAGACCCTGAAGGAGCATTGGCTTTGCATGGAATCTTCCGTACTGGTAAGGTCTGAAAAACAGAGGTTCCTTGCTTAGATAAATGATACATGTTAGCATAATACTTAAGAAATATGAAATCTCTACACAGATTTTCATAGGTTTGTGACTTCTATCAACATATTTGCTTGTCCATTAAAATTCCGTGAATTAAGAGACCCTAAGAGCATGAAGTTGTCAGCCACAAAGGCTTTTCAAAAGCATCGTGGTAGGCCAGGCAATGTGAGTTCAGAGATGAATCAATATCAGCAACTTCTGAGGAATATTGGCAAAGAGCTACCTGATGAACCAAATAAACTGCAAACAGATTGGCTACAGAGATAAACATCATTCTACTTATTCTATCAGTACTTCAAGGGGAGCTTATAAATTGCTTTAGACATATACACATGCCTTATAAATGTTTAGGCCTATTCCTTAGATCACCATCTAGCTCCCATTCCCTCACATCTCTTACTCCAGCTGTACTGTTTTACATTTATTGACCTGCTTTGCAAAGAAAATGCTTATGTGTCAAATTATTTAGGAGGAGATATTAATACTTTTCTATATTGTATTCTCAAGAAAACAGTGACCAGTTTTACATGGTACTTTAAAGAAAAAAAGCCAAGTAAGCCTTGTATTATAGACAGCACATTACCTTGTGGGCTATTTCAGAATTAGGGATGAGAAGAAGGAAAGGATACGGGACTATTCAACAAATCCAGTACAAGTAACAAACAGTGAAACCTCAATTCTTCCAAAGAGCTTTAGATATGGAACAACCTTACAGATCAGAGCACAAGGAACCATTATTTTAAATCCCTCCCCATTCTTCTGGAGGAAAAAAAAAACAACAAAAAAACAGGAAAAAAACTCCAACGCAACAAAACAACCAGCTCCATTCCTCACAGACCAGGGTTGTTTTTTGTTTTGTTTCTTTAAAAAGGAAAAACAAAGAAAAGCTATTAGCACTAGACAGATTTCTAGACTAGCACCCTTTTCACATCATACTAATTTCTTCAAAGAAACAATGAGTATCTGTAACCTGAGGCAAATTCTCATTATACTTTACCGACTGCTTCACACATTCCATTTGCCCTAGTGACTTACAGCCTTCAGGAAGAAGTAATGCAGCATTTGTCCAGCTCTGCCTCCGTCTACATCATTTCTTGAGAGATTTTAATTGGACAAGGCTAATAGTCTTGAAAGAGCACTCGCTTCTGTTAAAAGGAGTAACACAGAACTCTCTGGCAGCCGGCTGGAGGAAGGTCAACTAGTCCAGTCTGCATTCAGAGAAAAGCTGTCAAAACAAGCCTTTTGTTTCATGATTGTCTGCTAAAATCTTACATAAAAACATTGCAGAAAAAATCTTTAAGGACTTCCTTCTTCAAAATAATTTCTGCAGCGACGATCTAACCTGATCTTCCTTCCTCCAGGGCAGAAAAGGAACAAGCAGTGCGGGCAAGGATGTTGGGCTGGCTGACAGCAGCATGAATCAAGAATGGAAACAGGCAGAGAGCAGCAAGAGTCGAGCAGCTCCCTGAAGGACAACAAGCTGAGAGCCAAGGGTGACCCCAGCACAGGCAGTTGCAGCCCCCACTGACGGCACTGCTGTCAAAGCACGTAAGCAAGGCGGTGCTGGGGACAAAACAGTTTTAGCCAACTGTGCTGTGACAAGATGAGGTGTCAAATCAGGTCTACTGCCTGTCCAGGAAGACTGCAGAAACAGAAGACAAGGCCGGATGCAAGGCTAGAGCAGAAGATGAGGCTCAGGCTGTGAAGCACGGCTGCAGATGGTCTGTCCACAACATGGCTCAGGCAAGAAGGGGTGCTGAGGCCAAAGGGAGCCCCTCAGCCCCAGGCACAGAGCGCAGGCTGGGGTCCCAGGTGAGGCTGGTCATGGCTATTAAAGTATTTTGGTTCTCTCGGGTCCTGACACCAATTATTCTGTGTTTTTCAGTGGAATCAATCCCTTCAGAAATACACAGCTACCTTATAATCAACTCTATCTATCTGGCCAGTAGACTCAAAGAGGTGTCATTTCATAGCACTGTATCTTAATCTATCACATGAAGCATCCACTGTACATACAACTCACCTGATCATATTCTCAAAGAACCAAATTACCCACAGCTATAAATTGGTTTTAGACCAGTAAAATCAAATGGAACAAAATACTTTTCCCTTAATACCTCTGCTTGGAATACAGGATCTGAAGTGATACAATTGCACCAGCTGAGTTAACAGGTCAAGATAAGGAGACCAAACGAATTTTATCTGGCAAAACATTTTTTTTTTCTTCAATTTTTGAACAGTTACATCCGATTTAGAGTGCAAATTCTGGATGACCTTATAACAGGTTAGCAGCACTGTGACAGCAACAAGATGACAAGAAGCCAGCTCCAGCATTCCTCGCACTTGCAGACTTGTGCATAAGCTACTTCACAGAGCAAGATAAAGCTCCAGATACTTTTTATACGAAAGCTGATCTGCAGCGTCAAATCATCTCACCTCCCGTTTCACTCCTGAGTTCTCATCTCCGGATTTTCCATTTTCTTTATGTTACTTTGCTCTCAAGCTCTCCTTCGCAGAAACCTAGCACAACTTCTCCAAGGCAAAAAAACTGCTTACAAGCCCAAGAACAGCTCAGAAGGGTATTACAGGTGAAATTAGGCCAGGTTGGTTTCCTTCCTCTCAGTTCTCCAACTCCAGCTGAGCCAATTCTGTGCCTTTAAACTACTTGCTCGTGCCACATCCCCTGATAACCAGCCTACATTCTTTCAAGTCGTGCGTGGGGTTTTAAACGCTATTCTGCAAGTCTGTGACAAAACGCTCATATTAATTCAGGAAATTTGAACTAAAGAAAAAAAAAAGAAAGAAAAACACACAAAAAGAAAGGAAATACTGTGCTACACGGCTGGTGGCTGCCATCTGGCAACCAGAGGAGACTTAGGCCCACCGTGGGCACAACTAATCTGTTCCAGTCGGCTCTGAGCCCACAGGGCATGAGCAAGCCTGCAGCACCCGTCCTGGAGACCTGGAGCTGCTCCTTGGCACAGATGCCCTCAGCAGCACAAAAGCAGCCTGAGGTGAGGAGATCGCCAGGAGAACCTGCACTGCCTTTCTTTAAGAGGCTGTTGGGAAGGCATCGCAACGCCTGGCAGGAATG